TCAGACGTGTGCTCTTCCGATCTCCCCAAAACCCCAAAACCCCAAAACCCCCACAATCAAGTATTTTTTTAATCTGCTAGCGTGTTATAAATAAATCTAAATATTCCTAAATTTATCTAATCACAGTTCACCTCTTCTCTTAAGTTCGTCCTCAATCATTTTCATTGAGTTCTTTCTTTCCTGTTCTTCCATCATTGATTTAATCCTCATTTCTTAGAATTACTCCTATTATGCAAGATCAATAGTCATTTCAAACTTTATATCTGCCTTTTTCTTTATGAATTCTGCTATTTCAGAGGCTTTAGCTTGTCCTAGATATTTAGAATACGGTGGATTTTTGTGGTAAGCTGGGAAGAAATAAATGATAGGTACTTCTTGCTGCTCAATTCTTGGTGGCTAGTTTTCAACATTCACATCATAGGCATAGAATGTAACTGAGTTTATCTTCATTTATTTGAATTTTTATGCAGCTTCATTGAATTTTCCAGCGACCATCCTCTGAGTCTCATCCTCAACAGAACTTGTATAGAGGAATACTATTGCATCTTTACCTTCTTCAAAAACTTTATCAACAAAGGTATGTCTAGTTATCATCAAGCAATCTGGCATCATATACTTTATTTCTGCATCAATAATTGAACCGAATCCGCTATCTTTAGTTTCTAGCTGCCCTTTCACGAACTTGCTTAGCCATTTCTTCATTAATTCTACTGTAAATAGTTGATCTTCTGGGTATGGTACTACTTTTTGCTCATTATTGTTAATCGATATAGCAGGTATTTTATCATGTGTGATTCCTAATAGCTTACGATGCTTATGGTATAGAGTGTTATCTGCATAAGAAATAATAAGGCCATGGAAAAATGCTGGTGCTACTTCCTTCAATACATTATCGACAAGATTTATTGATTCTTTGAATACTTTCTTATCTTTAGATTTCATATCAACAAATGCAACCAAGATTGGTTGCCTGATCATCTCAAAAACTCTAAAGGTATCAGTGTTTGTTTCTTCAACAAGATTAATACTTTTCTTGTTTATCCAATATTGATAGCTTAATATTCCACTTCCATCACCTAACAAATCTGAGTAAAATGTCTAGCCATCATATCTTTTCAACATTATTGTACTGTATGTGCCTTCAGGGAACCATAATGTGCCATACTTAGCCTTGTATTTTTTAATAATCTTTTTATCAGGGACTAAAGCAATTCTTAATTCATCTCTTTTAGCAGAGAATCTACCAGTCTATCTAAGATTCTTAAGTTCATCAGTATAGTCTTCTTTATCATAAATGAAAGCTATGACTCTAGTTTTAGTTTTTCGATTCTTAAAAACATCTCCAAGAGCTAAGTAATTTTTATCAAAAAATTTTGTGTTTTCTTAGAATTCCTCATTTTAATTGAGAAATTTCTAGACGTCTTCATCTGTTTTAAGAGTGATTAATGGATTGATGATTTTATTCATAAAATGTAAGAACTCTACTTTGGACTAGACATTTCCCTCGAATATGTAGTACTATCCATCGAAGTATACAAACATTGAGGGTGATGACTAAGTCATGATTCCTTCTTTCTCAATGAAGTCGTATTTCTTAGAAATGTCTAATCTAGCAATCTTGATCTTATTCTTCTTGTTTAGATACTTAGATGTAGAAAAATCTTATTGCAAAGAAAGCAGAAGTTCTTCACTTGTGCAGCATTACGGGCAACCACTATCTGAAAGTCCCAATACAAACAGATTGTTTGCCTTCTTGAACTTTTCGAAATTCGACTGAGTAAGATTTTGATCTCCTACAGATAAATTGGGTAAATCAGCACTGCAACCTCTAAAATTTCCAGGGCTTTCATCGATAACCTTATTTTATCTTAAATCAAGGTTTGGAAATTTCTAAGCTTAAGTAAGGAAGCAGCTTAAGATTATAGCTAAGGAAAGATATTGCAACACGTGTGATCGACAGGAAAACCACATTTTAATTTTTAATTTTTAGCAATTTGCAAGTAATTAAAGCCATGGGGTTTTGGGGTTTTGGGGTTTTGGGG